GAGGGGATAATAAAGTACGCTAATTGGCGTCACCACCGAGATTCATTGAAATACTATTATACATAGGCAAAATTGCAATACAACATGGATTGATTTTTTGGAGTGTATGCAAAGTGATGTGCACAGAACTATCTGCAGCGGTGCTTAATCTAAACGGCAGTCATCATGGTATTTTCCTAGTGAGTATTTAACAAAACTTTTGGATTGCATCCAGCCAACAGCTATAGTTTCTCCACAAGACAAGGGATTCCTTTTTTCGGTCAGTTCCCACTCTATTTTTTGTGTCTCCCACTGACCAAAATGCCTCTGTTATTTCCGGCTGAACGAGTTCGGAATTCTCCACATCCCTTCTCCTACGAGACTCCCGTCCGACCTACAAAATGATTGTTTACACTCTTTCGAAGGCTGCCCCCCTGCTCCCTAGAGCGCTGGCCGCTCTCCCTCACTCAAATGCACATAAGTAAATACTGCTCCCCTCCCTTCTTGTTCACATTTTCATACCCTGACATTTCACCATAACATTTCACACCGCTGACTTCGAACACTTGCAACCCCCCTTGCCGATACAGCATTGCCTCTGTTCACGTCCGCCTCCCCCCCTTTTGGCGCTGGTGTTTTCAGACCAATAGGAGCCCACAGGAACTGCCTGTTGGAATACTATAAAACCAGATCCATGCCCCTTTGACCAACTCCCTTTGCTCTTGACTTGGAATATCCATATTTTAGGTTTGCGTACTTATTGTGTACTATATCTCTTAATAGTATCGTACCACTTTGATAGTTGTTATCACCGGTTTTGGCGTACGCGTGACTGATGGATACAGTAGGAGAAGACAGGGGACGAAACAGCCTCCTATTTAATTACTGACGTGAAACCTAAATTCGTCTTACTTCCCATGGTAAGATGTTGCATCGGCTTTGTGTCTAATTTTACGGGTAAGCAAACAAAAACAACTTCTGATAAAACTGAGATTGGATATAAAGGCTTTGAATAAAGAATGCTATCAGAAGCGCAACGTATTTGCCAATTCAACTTCTCGAACGTTGTGCATAATTAATGCAACCAAAAAAAACCCCCGAGGTGGACGAAAATCCAACCAATAGGAAGAGAGTGCAGCAGGTGGGGTGGTGAGTTGTGAGATGTGCAGACTGCTGTCAACTAAGAGCGTTCATGTTAACACAATATCGATACTGAAAAGCTAGTAGTCAGGTTATAAACTAACCCAACGCTGCGTTGTTCGCATTCTCTTTCTTTCCTGTCAAGTAGCTCACACGGAACGGTCCGTTTACTGTTCGCTGTCTGTCTTGCTACACGTTTTCGGTATTTAACTGGCGTGTATTGACTGTCCTTTTCTACGTACATTTGATCTATGTTCAGGATATCGCAGGCTTAATTTTGAAGTTGCTGGTATTCCCACTTCTTAAGAACCAGTTCTTCATTTGGTGGCATTTTTTAAGCAGACGTTGATACATTTTATATTTTGCTAACGAATTACACTTCGAGGACAGTAATGTGACCACTTTGCTGACCCACAAAACTAGATTTTTTCATTTCACTTATTTTCATTTAATTTCGGAGTTTGCCAACGAATGACACAATAACCAGTATAACTGCGTTTTTTTTCTGACTATCTGTTGGGCCAAACAATAAAATTCCTCAGACTGAATCCTTTGCTCACTTAAGGCAGTGGCGTGACTAGTGAAAACTGGATGTTCTTACACCTGAGTCGACAGATCAACCTTTTATTTTTGTACGGCAATCAAACTTCCCCACCTCTGCCCTTCTTGCTGTACTTGCGTAAAATAAGCCTTTTATCTACATTTTAATGGACTCTTAAAGTAATTTGCTGCTACGGCTACCAAACGATATAGCCATAGCCATTTCACTCTTCATGTAAAACAGCATGCATGGCCACCAGCCTGAAGTCGCTGCTGGAGCCCCTCATGTCTTCATACATGCCAATCAACATGCGTCGTCCAGTGATTGGCTGCAGGTGACATCCAGTATGGCGAGTGCTGCATGCAACATGCCAAATTTAGTGAAAGTTTGATAATTACTCGCATATCGGCGTGAATGCATTTACGGAAATTTGGAACAAATAATAATAAGTAACATTAGGCATATAAAGTACTTAAAAGAAATATAAGAAGTACTAATTGTTTGTTAAGAAAAATAAAATTTTTTTGGATAATGCTCAAGTGTCGGAGTCTTAAAAAATAGACATAAATAAGAGGAATAAATTTAAGTCTTTCGTTAGTCGAAAACGGGATAAACCAATTTCTTTATAAAAAAGAAATTTACTTTAGTCAAAATATGTTGTACATATTATAATTAGTGGATAACTATTTATTGAGTATGTATTGGGTCTGGGATT